CACTTTAGACCAGGATTTTTTTTACCAGGAAAGAACTGCAAAACAAAACTACTGCATTGCTCCCAATGTTTATATCAAAATTTCTGACAATGATGAAGCAGACTGGATTCAGCTGGAGAAAGAACAGCAACATTTCTAGTCACCATGGCAGAAAACTAAATACAGCAGGCAGTGCCAAGTCCATGGTTTTCATAATAGCATTCTCTCCACATTTGCCGAGGGAAATCAATTTCACACACTAAAATTCCATCAGAATACTTTTTGTTGGACAGCTTGCATGACTCATTTGTACTCAATCTGATATGAAATCATTTCAAAATGATACAAAGAATTAAAATGCATATGGCAAGCACAGACAGCAGAAACTAGTTACCAAAAAGCAGGTCTAAAGTTCATTTAGTGTGTTAATACCCTAGAAGAAATAAATTGTGGTTTATTTAGGCAGCTAAGGAGAGTCATTCTGGGCTAGTCCTTGAATGGGAGATCGCCAATGTATACTAGGTGCAGTAGGATATATTTCAGAGGAAGGACTGGCAAAACAACCTGAGTATTCATTGCTTAAGAAAACCTTATGAAATTTATGAGATCACTGTAAGTTAAACAGGTGACCTGAAAGCACATGCATGCACACAAACACACCAAAACAAAAACAATCTTTTCTGAGCAGCCATACTTTCTTAACGTGTCCTTTCAAAATGAAAGATACATTTTCACTTATCAGCTTCCATGCAAGTTTATTACCAACAGGTTTTCCACCTTCTTAGGAGCATTTAAACACACTGTGCAAACTGTTTTTAAAAGACTATTTTCAAAACCAAATAAAAATGAAAAACAAACAGCAATAACATCAGCTACTTAGTGAGCTTTTTTTGTGTCAGGAGAGACTTGAGAAACTGCAACTTAGGTAGCTGAAAACTATCAACAACTATAAATAGCTAAGAAAATCTGTTCCTAATATACTATGACTCAAAATAGAGCGCAGGTTCAAATCATTATAAAGCCTATTGGAGGGCCTAAATACCTTGAGAGACCAGATCCCATCTCATCTTGGATGCTAACTAGGGTCAGCCCTGGTGAGGACTTGATGGGAGAGAATCAAGGAATATTATAATTTGGAGTAAGGAACTGGCAAAACATCTCTGAGAATACTTCGCCTAAGAAAATCCCATGAAACTTATGGAGCTGTCAAATGTTGGTTGGCAACCTGAAGGCACACACATACACACACACAGAGGTGGCAGGACAAAACAAGATTGCCACAACTTTTCTACCCCAAATCCTCTGCAAAATAATCACTAAGCTGTTTTCCACCACCTCCATACATACACACTCACACACCGACTTCACAATTTACCTTAAATGGTGGAATAATAGTCTGCAAACCATTCTTACTTTATCTTGTATATATGTGCTTGCATTAATCATTTGATTAAGCACATAGGAATACATAAATTCTATCCATACTAGTGCAACTAAAGCAGTGGTTCCTCATCCAGTGCTGGTCCCTGAGTCATTGGCTGCCTGTCCTTGGAAAGTTTTGAAGAAAATAAAGAAACAATTGTACTTAAGGCACAGAAATGTAGTGCCAGGCAATGTGCGGAGGAAATCATTTCCAATCTTCCACATCAGAAAAACACAGAACACAAGGATATAAGACATAGAAAATCTTGACACCAAAAAGTATTTTCCTCCATAAGTTAAAAAAAAAAAAAGGATTACAGCCACCCTCACTCAGCATCTCTTCTTCTATCAGCAAGTTAAATTAAGGCTGCAAGAGAAGAAGGACATGAACCGCACACACAAATGCTTCCGGACACAAACCAACCACTGGCTGGTGAAGCCAAAAAATAAATAAAAAAGATCTCCCTGCGGGGATGTCTTACCACCAAGGTTCCTGACATATTTCCGGAAGCAGGTTGAACTAGTTGCAGAAGAACAAGGAGCAACTAAAACCAGGCCTAAACAGCCAGAAGGCTGGGATTGCAATTCTTTTGCCCTGCCTCACTTACATTCAGATACACACTCAAACAGCTCACCAGATAATTAAAGAGCACCCAGAAGTCATCCATGCTTACACGCAATCATCACCATCGTGAGTTCAAGTAAGTTTTCTTAAAATCACAGAGCAAAGATATAAATATAAAGACACCCCCACCTCCTCATAAGACAAAGACAGAGGCAGCAACAAACCTTTCCCTTACAAGACCTTGATTTGATCCTTAAACCCTTCCAACAAGCTCTGGCACAAAGAAATCTGGAAGGTCAATGTCTCCCCACTGCCATCGAGACGGCACAGCATTAATACACCCTAATATCACACTAAGTGAAGTTAGGAGAGAATGCTTCTGGAACATGGCCATACAGCCTGGAAAACTCACAATAACCCAGTGATTCTGGCCATGAATGCCTTTGACAACACATTACACTAAGTGTCCTTTAAATCTGCCTGGCGAGCTTCCGGTATTGTTAACCAGAGTGGGTTTGAGCCTCGCCTCTCGCACCTTTCGTTATTCCACCTGTAGCTAGAATGGAGATGGCAACTTATCTTGATAAGGATGAAATTGGAAAAAGTGTGTGTGGCAGTGGTTTCCTTAACCTTGGAGTACTACACTGCTTGTTCATGTGGGGCAAGCAAAGCTGAGAAGGACACCAGTCAGATTCTCAGCAAATGAAAGTGACTGGAGAAGAGTTGGGGGACATGTTTCTGTGTAGGGTCTCCATAGTTTGTGTGCAGGGGGGCTCTATATGTGTGTGTGTAAGTAAAGGCTCTGTGTGTGTAGGGGGCTGCCTATGTGTTGTTGTTCTCTTTGTGTATGTGTGTGTAAGGTATCTGTGTGCGTTTAGGGCAGGCATGAGCAGACTTGGGCCCTCCAGGTGTTTGGACTTCAGCTCCCACAATTCCTAACATTAGGAATTGTGGGAGTTGAAGTCCAAAACATCTGGACAGCCCAAGTTTGCCCATGATTGGTTTAAGGGCTCAGTATGCAGGTAGATGTGTGTGAGTCAAGGCTTTGTGTGTTGTGTTATGTCGTGTGTATGGGGGTCCATGTGTGCATGAGTAGAGTATGTAAGGACTGTGTGTTTGGTGTAGTAGAGCAGGCATGGAGCAAACTTGGGCCTTCCAGGTATTTTGGACTTCAACTCCCACAATTTCTAATGTGGGAGTTGAAGTCCAAAACACCTGAAGGGCCCAAGTTTGCCCATGCTTGGTTTAGTGGCTCAGTATGCGGGTAGATGTGTGTGAGTTAAGGCTCTGTGTGTTGTTGTTTTTTTTGGGGGGGGTCTCTATTTATGTCTTGAGTTGAAGCTGTGTATGGGCTTGGTGTGAGTATTTGTATATCCATAGGTGTATGTATATGTATATGATATGTGTGAGTAAGGACTCCATGTCTGTAGTGTTGTGTATGTGTGTTATTTTTTTGAGGGGTGTCTCTATTTATGTCTTGAGTTGAAGCTGTGTATGGGCTTGTGTGTGGCTATTTGTATATCCATAGGTGTATGTATATGTATATAATATGTATGAGCAGGGACTCCATGTCTGTAGTGTTGTGTATGTGTGTTATTTTGGGGGGGGGGTCTCTATTTATGTCTTGAGTTGAAGCTGTGTATGGGCTTGGTGTGAGTATTTGTATATCCATAGGTGTATGTATATGTATATGATATGTGTGAGTAAGGACTCCATGTCTGTAGTGTTGTGTATGTGTGTTATTTTTTTCTCTGTGTCTTGAGTTGAAGCTGTGTATGGGCTTGTGTGGGCTTGTGTGTGGCTGTAGTTTGTATATCCATAAGTGTATGTATATGTATATAATATGTGTGAGTAGGGACTCCATGTCTGTAGTGTTGTGTATGTGTGTTATTTTTTGAGGGGTGTCTCTATTTATGTCTTGAGTTGAAGCTGTGTATGGGCTTGTGTGTGAGTATTTGTATATCCATAGGTGTATATGTATATGATATGTGTGAGTAAGGACTCCATGTCTGTAGTGTTGTGTATGTGTGTTTTTTTTTCTCTGTGTCTTGAGTTGAAGCTGTGTATGGGCTTGTGTGTGAGTATTTGTATATCCATAGGTGTATGTATATGTATATAATATGTGTGAGTAAGGACTCCATTTCTGTAGTGTTGTGAACGTGTGTTATTTTTGGGGGTCTCTATTTATGTCATGAGTTGAAGCTGTGTATGGGCTTGTGTGTGTCTGTTGTTAGTATATCCATAGTGTTGTGTATGTGTGTGTTTTGGGGGTGTCTCTATTTATGTCTTGAGTTGAAGCTGTGTTGTTTGTATATCCATAGTGTTGTGTATGTGTGTTTTGGGGGGTGTATCTATTTATGTCTTGAGTTGAAGCTGTGTATGGGCTTGTGTGTGGCTGTTGTTTGTATATCCATAGGTGTATGAATATGTATATAATATGTGTGAGTAGCGACTCCATGTCTGTAGTGTTGTGTAAGTGTGTTATTTCCTTTTTGGGGGGTCTCTATTTATGTCTTGAGTTGAAGCTGTGTATGGGCTTGTGTGTGGCTGTTGTTAGTATATCCATAGTGTTGTGTATGTGTGTTTTGGGGGGTGTCTCTATTTATGTCTTGAGTTGAAGCTGTGTATGGGCTTGTGTGTGGCTATTTGAATATCCATAGGTGTATGTATATGTATATAATATGTGTGAGTAAGGACTCCATGTCTGTAGTGTTGTGTATATGTGTTATTTGGGGGGGGGGGTGTCTCTATTTATGGGCTTGTGTGTGGCTGTAGTTTGTATATCCATAAGTGTATGTATATGTATATAATATGTGTGAGTAGGGACTCCATGTCTGTAGTGTTGTGTATGTGTGTGTTTGGGGGGGGGGTGTCTCCATATGTGTGGGTTATGTGTGGAGCTTGGCAGAGCCCCCTCCCTCTCCCCAAGCTCTCCAGGTAAATAAATAGAAGGAAGGGCCCCCTAGAAACCTAGAAACCGCCTTTTCGCCTCAAGGCCCCCCRCCCTCCTTCCAACCGCCCTCTCCCCTCTCACCAAGGAAACGTCTCCTTCTGCGCCCAGCTCGCGCTGCCTGCCTGCTTCCTTGCTCGCTTGCTTCCTTCTCCTCGGGCCACGCCCCCTTCGCTGCCTCCTTCCTCGCGACCCAGCCCCAAAGCCACGCCCCCCGGAGCCACGCCTCCTCTCCACGAAGCCACGCCTCCCCTTCGCTCGCCCAGAGTCAGCCTCAGGGCACGGCGCGCGCGTGCGGGTGAGAGGCCGCAGAGGTCCACGTCACGTGACAAGGGAGAAGGAAGGTAAGAAGGCGGGAAAAAGGGATCTCTGCAAAAGTACAAAGTACACAACCAGTTTGGGGAAACCACACACTTAAAATACTTCTAAGTCCTCCCACTCCCTCTGAAAAGGGGGGGAGGGGAGTCATTCACATTCCTCTGTCATAGCAACAGCCATGGCAACAGGCATTGAAAGCCTTTGGGGAAACTACACACCCCAGAAGTCCATTGGGATGTTTCCATGGCAATTAAAACGGAACCAAATGTACTGTCACACTGTAATGTGATAGAAGCCCTGTATTGTTAGGTTAAACAAAAAAAAACACTCAAGGTACATCTAATATAATAATATAATGTAATATAATATATATACAATTATTATAATGTAATGCAATTCAATGTAATATGATATAATTATATATTTTATATTACATGTAATATTGCTAATAATATTACAATATAATGGTATAGTACAATATAGTAATGTATAATACTGATATTGTACTATGCTTTATTTATTTATCGTATCATCAGCAACCATACCATTATATTGCATTTCTAACAGAACAAAACAAACAAGCAGATAAAAAAAACACAAATTTTGCAAACTTGGTAGTTGATTAAATGTCCTTTGACCAGTATCTGGCCACTTGGAGTGCCTCTGGTGTTGCCGCAAGGAGGTCCTCCATTGTGCATGTGGCTGGGCTCAGGGTGCATTGCAGCAGGTGGTCAGTGGTTTGCTCTTCTCCACACTCGCATGTTGTGGATTCCACTTTGTAGCCCTATTTCTTAAGATTGGCTCTGCAATTCGTGGTGCCAGAGTGCAGTCTGTTCAGCGCCTTCCAAGTCGCCCAGTCTTCTGTGTGCTCAGGGGGAGTCTCTGATTTGGTATCACCCACGGATTGAGGTGCTGGGTTTGAGCCTGCCACTTTTGGACTCTCGCTTGCTGAGGTGTTCCAGCAAGTGTCTCTGTAGATCTTAGAAAACTATTTCTTGATTTAAGTCATTGACATGCTGGCTGATACCCAAACAAGGGATGAGCTGGAGATGTCTCTGCCTTGGTCCTTTCACTATTGGCTGCTACTTCCTGGCGGATGTCAGGTGGTGCAATACCGGCTAAGCAGTGTAGTTTCTCCAGTGGTGTAGGGCGCAGACACCCCGTGATAATGTGGCATGTCTTATTAAGAGCCACATCCACTGTTTTAGCGTGGTGAGATGTGTTCCACACTGGGCATGCATACTCAGCAGCAGAGTAGCATAGCGCAAGGGCAGATGTCTTCACTGTGTCTGGTTGTGATCCCCAGGTTGTGCCAGTCAGCTTTCGTATGATATTGTTTCTAGCACCCACTTTTTGCTTGATGTTCAGGCAGTGCTTCTTGCAGGTCAGGGCACGGTCCAGAGTGACTCCCAGGTATTTGGGTGTGCTGCAATGCTCCAGTGGGATTCCTTCCCAGGTAATCCTCAGAGCTCGGGATGCTTGTCTGTTCTTTAAGTGAAAGGTGCATGTCTGTGTTTTAGATGGATTAGGGATCAGTTGGTTTTCCCTGTAATAGGCAGTAAGAGCATCTAGAGCTTTGGAGAGCTTCTGTTCTACCATCTCAGACCCATGTCTGATTCCACAGCAAGCTGGCTTCAGGAAAGGCAAAAGCTGCACATCGCAAGTGCTGAACCTGACTCAGCACATAGAAGATGGCTTTGAAAGGCAGCAGATCACAGGAGCTGTCTTCATAGACCTGTCAGCAGCTTATGATACTGTAAACCATTGCCTCCTCCTGAGAAAAATGTATAATATCACAAAGGACTACCATCTCACCCGCCTCATAGGAAACCTGCTACAAAACAGGAGCTTTTTTGTTGAGTTCCAGGGCCAGAGAAGCAGATGATGGAAACAGAAGAACGGCCTGCCTCAGGGGAGCGTGCTTGCTCCATCCATGTTCAACATCTACACAAATGACCAGCCACTGCCAGAAGGGACTGAGATTTATTTGCTTCATTTCTATACCGCATATTTCAGCCCAGACAGGCGACTCTATGCGGTTTACATGATACAAATTATTAACAGTGTCAGTGCAATTAAAACGCAACACGTGCGACAAACAGGATCAACAACAACAATCCACAACAGTTAACCAAACAGAACAGGACAGTCAACACATACAACATAAGCGCCTCAGTGAAATCAGATCCGATCTCATAATCCTTGTGCCATTCCTATGTTCCATTTACCGTCTTCCTATGTTCGGTTGCACTGTTTAACCAAACGCTTGTTCATAAAGCCAGGTCTTGACCTTTCTCCGAAACGCCAGCAACGTTTACATATTTGATGTCTACCGAGGCATTCCAGAGCCGAGGGGCCACCACTGAGAAGGCCCTGTCTCTCGTCCCCGCCAAGCGCGCCTGTGACACAGGCGGGACCGAGAGCAGGGCCTCCCCAGACGATCTTAATGTTCCTAGCCGGTTCATAGGTGGAGATGCGTTCGGAGAGGTAAGTGGGGCCAGAACCGTGTAGGGCTTTATAGGCTAAAGCCAGCACCTTGAATTGTGCCCGGTAGCAAATTGGCAGCCAGTGGAGCTGGCTCAACAGAGGAGTGGTGTGCTCCCTGAGTGCCGCTCCCGTTCGCAACCTGGCTGCCGAGCGCTGGACCATCTGAAGCTTCCGGGCAGTCTTCAAGGGCAACCCACGTAGAGCGCGTTGCAGTAATCAATACGGGATGTAACCAGAGCATGGACTACCGTGGCCAAGTCAGACTTCCCAAGGTACGGGCGCAGCTGGCGCACAAGTTTGAGTTGTGCAAATGCTCCCCTGGACACCGCCGAAACTTGGGGTTCCAAGCTTAGCGAAGAGTCCAGGATCACACCCAAGCTGCGAACCTGCATCTTCAGGGGGAGTGTAACCCCGTCTAACACAGGCTGTAACCCTATACCCTGTTCGGCCCTTCGACTGACCAGGAGTGCCTCTGTCTTATCTGGTAACAGTGCTCCATGCAGTCATGCCAGCCACATGACCTTGGGGGTGTCTACGGGCAACACCGGCTCTTCAGCTTAGAAATGGAGGTGAGCATCATCCCCCAGAGTCTAACACAACTAGCCTTTACCTATACATATGTGTATATATATGTGTGTGTATATACACATGTGTATCTATGTATATGTGTGTGTACACATATGTACAGAACATACAGACACCAAATGCATAAAGAATAGAAAGCAAGACCAGAGAAAAATTACATACAGACTATACAGACAGTAAGAATTACATTATTAATGCGCTCCATTGGTTCAGGAAACTCACAGATACCAAGAATCTAACAGTAGATATGACAATCAACACCTTTTGTGTGATAAGAAACCATTATCCCAAAGCTCTAGGGATAGCTGGCAATGTCCTACTGAATTACACTCTGCAGTCTCTCGCTTTAGCATCACTTTGCTTTTCAGAACACTTCAATCTGTCACTGATTTTAAACAAACTTCAAAGGTAGATTAGTGAAATTGGGGGCCCCCGAGTTCCAATTCACGGTCTACAAAGCCCATGTTGTGATAAATATGTCCCTAAAGTTTTACTTGAAAGGGATAACCTCCTTGTGTGTGGCTTTTTAATAGACCAGGACTATTTTCTCAGTATCCAGGGTGCTGTGATTTGCCTCTTTTGTACTGATATAAAGTGAATAGTATAATTTAATTCCTTTGCAAGTGAGTCAGAAGAACGCTGCCTGATTTTCCCTGAGCTGATGCATGTGTGGGGGTGTTTTGCCACATTAAGCCGCAAGTGAGAAATTCATGTGCCGGATGCCTTCCTGTGCAAAACTTTTGTCCCCCGCACGTCCTCTCCAAATGTGAAGGATCAAGAGGATCTCCTCTTGATGTAATCCAAACTGGCTCATAGGGGGGATTTATATTGGCTCACAATCTTGAACACGTTGAGGCATGATGCAGCCTGTTTAGATCAGTCCTTATTCTGGACTATATCCAAGCTATAGAAAAAAATATAAATTTCTCCATAGCCTTCCCTTGATCTTTCACTGCCTCTTTATAGAAATTCAATGATCTTTTGGGATGGTTTGTTGCAAAAGGTCCAGGTTTGGAAAGGTTTGGCTGAACTGCAAAAGCTCCTGTCTGAAACCTTGGAGAGCTTTCTCCTTCACCTTCTCCTCCGACATATGGAATGTTTGATATAAATCAGCTTCCTCTTATAATACCTAGCTATCTAATTTGGAGCATATCCTCATTAGGAACAGAAGATTGACTCTTATCTATATAATAGTATGATCTCCTACTGTATATAAATGATGGCACAGATTCATCTACACCAGTGTTTCTCAACCTGGGGGTCGGGACCCCTTGAGGGGTCACAAGGGGGTGTCACAGGGGTTACTAAAGATCATCAGAAAATACAGTATTTTCTGTTGGTCATGGGGGATTCTGTGTGGGAAGTTTGGCTCAATTCTATCATTGGTGAGGTTCAGAATGCTTTTGAATGTAGGTGAATGATAAATCACATCAACTACAACTCCCAAGTGTCAAGGTCTATTTTCCCCCAACTCCACTAGTATTCAAATTTAGGCGTATCAGGTATTTGTGCCAGATTTGGTCCAGTGAATGTAAATACATCCTGCATATCAGATATTTACATGACGATTCATAACATTAGCAAAATGACAGTTATGAAGTAGCAACGCAAATAATTTTATGGTTGGGGGTCACCACAACATGAGGAACTGTATTAAGGGGTCGAGGCATTAGGAAGGTTGAGAAACACTGATCTACACTGTAGAATCAATGCAGTTTGACACCACTATTCAATACTAGGAAATAATGGGAGTTTAGTTTGGTGAGGCATCCACCACTCTTTGGCAGAGAAGGCTAAGGGCCTTGTGAAACTACATGTCTTACCATTCCTTAGCATTTTATTTATTTATCGTGTCAGGGGCAGACCAAACAGTTGCATTGCGTTTTTTAACAAACAAACAAACAAAACGCAAAGTTTGCAAGCTTGGTAGTTGATTAAATGTCCTTTGACCAGT